TAAAGGCATATATTCTGGTACATTGGTCAAATATTTTGTAATATATCCTCCAACTGGGGCTTCTCTCCTGCTATTCTCAGTAATTTTTTTGTTTACTTAAGCAAAATTTTACCCAAATGCATTCTTTAAACTGCCTTGGTTTTATTATGGAATGACCCATTTAAAAGAGGCCCAGGTGCGCCTGGGTGACTCAGTTGGTTAAGTGTCTGACTGGGTTTCAACTCAGAGTCATGAGATTGAGCCTCAATTCAGGCTCTATGCTCAGCGGAGAGTCTGCTTGAGATTCTCTCCCTCTGCCCCTCCCTCACTTGCACCAGTTCTCTCAAAAAAAAAAAAAAAAAAAAAAAAAAGGAAAAGAAAAGAAAGAAAATTTTTTTTAAAAAGTTCCAATAAGAATCACAAAGAATTAACTTTATTTTGATAATTAAATTCACTTACACTTTTAATATACTTTCTTGCTCTGAAAAGTCTAAGTTACTTAAAAATGCTCTTTCTCCAGATCTCAATATACCATTATTAAATTAGTACCAACTGATATATCTTGTTTGCTAATCTTTAATAGAACCACAGTGAAACCAGCAGAGAAGAGAGCCAGATTTAATGGACTTAAGGTATATGATGTTAGAATGAATCCACATTGTTGATATTAACACATCAATTGATTACTCATCTATATAATGGTTTTACTTTTCAAAACTAACATTTATACTTCAATGCATGTTCAGAACAAACAATTTGATCAATTTAGTAAAGCACATTGTAAAAAAATTAATTTATCTTGAAAATGAATTATTTAATTGATAACATGGTTAGAAAAATGACAAGAAGTAAAGCAGTGGGAAAAACTCAGGGACCTCATTGAGCTCATCTTTCTCCTTCTTCCCCCGTTTCTTCTTCTCTCTCTGTTTCTCTAACACATACACACATACACACATGTCACATACACACATACTCAGAACTACTTAGTGGAAACTTGATTAAAAGTGCTGAAGTTGAGGCACCTGGATAGCTCAGTTGGTAGAGCATCCAGCTCTTGATCTCGGGGTCGTTGTGTTCAAGCCCCATGTTGGGCATGGAGCCTATTTAAGAAAAAAAAAAAGAAAAAATGCTTAAGCAGAAGACCATGAAAATAATGCATCAGGACAAAGAGAGAGAACTATCAATATATTATTGGAACATTACAGAATTTGATTTTAAAATTACTGAAAATTATTCTATTAAATGGCTATTAATTTGGAGACCGTTCAATTACAACAAAGTAGATTTCTTTCCTGCATAAAGAAATTAAGGAGAAATGCAGTGTGACAGAAACAAACAAGATCAAGAAAAGCCCCCCACTCAGTTTTGTAAATCCAGCTCAGAATCATTTCTGTATGTTTAAAGAAAGTCCCATCTTTTCTCTGGAACTGTAACTTCCAGGGAAACCACCTGGAACCATCAGGGTACTAATGAGTTCTGAATGTAAATGTCCCATTAGTCACTCTTACATATATCATCAACAACTCATTCACCTTTCACAGTCAACAGCTTGGTTAAAAACCAACTTTTGCAACACCATTGAAATACAGGAGACCAACAGAGAAAGTCAGATACACAAAGCTAAGTAGCCTTGCCATTGTTTTCCAGTGAACCCCTTATAGATCAGTCTCTGCTGTAAAACCTGAGACAGAGGCCCCAAGAGATACCATAAGTCTCTAAATTTTCAGAATTTAGGCGTTTCCAATTTTAGAAATTAATTTTAGTACTTTCTAATTGTGCATTTAATATTGTTTTGATGAAATATGGCCTGTCAAAGCACCCTTATCTTCTTATTAGGACAATAACAAAATTACAGATTCATATAGAGCTATGCTAGAAGACATAGTGAATATTTTCCAGAAATATCTTTAATAATTACAATTATAGAATTTCTGTTCTTTTTATATACATTATATACCATTTCGGTCCTGCCAGATAATACGGCATAGCAACCAGATAATTTTAATTTGTTAGATATTTTAATTTGTGGAATATTTTATTAATTTCAAAAGGACAAATAAATGAAACATCCTTCTCATTATAGCTAAAAATAAATTAGGATATGGTAATCTCTGGGAAAAATAAAATACTCTACAGATGTCATGGTTTGTTTTTTTTTAAGGATTTTATTTATTTACTGACAGAGAGAGAGAGAGAGAGAGAGAGATCACAAGTAGGCAGAGAGACAGGCAGAGAGAGAGGGGAAGCAGGCTCACTGCTGAGCAGAGAGCCTGATGCGGGACTCGATCCCAGAACCCTGAGATCATGACCTGAGCCGAAGGCAGAGGCTTAACCCACTGAGCCACCCAGGCACCCCAGAGGTTGTGGTTTAAGAAACTGGAGATTTCTCAGACTTTTCCCCCCATTTTTGTATTTGTAAAAGTATCCTTACTATCATGTGCTTTTAAAAAATGATACAGCTTGTATTATTTGTCACCTGTTCATTTGCATGGCTTCCTGGCTAAATAAAACCTGCTTCTCCATAGGTTATAATACAGGTTGCTCATAGGGTTAGGGGGCCCAGCCTGGGCAGTGCTCCATCCTACAGTGTCGGGCCAAAAGAAAGCCCCACAAAAAGTGTCTGGTTATGGAATTCTGGCACTGGAGAGATAGCATGGGAACTTTCAATTTTGTGGCACTGGGACATTCTAGGAACAGTAAAAGTGACCATTTCTGGGTCTCCTCAGAGTGTATATCATGGAACAGCAAGGCCAACAGCTAAAGGTGGTACCTTGGAAATGCCTTGATGTGGCACCAGAGCTGAGGCAGTCAGATGAATGTTTTCTGTTCAAACTGTTTTCCGTTAACTTACTTTCAATTAGATTACGTTCAACTGAATCACCTGAAGCCCCCTGGGTTACTCTCTGGAAACATCTTCCATATACTGTGTTCACTTCCTGAGAGGAAACTTCCTGTGAGCAGACAAAATCATCTGAAGAAGTCAAGCCTCAAGTTTCTATGCATGCCTGGCATTTTGCCAGTTTAGTAGACACTGTTGATTGAGTATCACTCAACTCCCCATGGAATCACTGCCTTCCCAAACCTGGATGGACTCTAGGGCTCTCTCTGAGTTTTGCAACTGCCTCTAGAAATCCAAGAAAGCAACATCAGGAGTGAGCTTGATCAAAGAGCCTTCCAGAAAGCAAGCAGTGAAGGAGGGTGCTGCTTTGTACGCAGCTTTCATCCATTTATAGCAAGCTTTCCATCCCTACAATGCCTGAGGAGGCAGTTGGTCAACTCCACATTCATGTTTTCTTGCTCAGTGAGGGCCCGTGCCTTTTGGGACAACATAAAGACCAATAAAATGCGTCAGTTCTCAAGTCTGTGATCTAGTGAAGCAGATGGACAACACTCCTACAATGGTAAATGCCATGAGTGGTACCTGGTCTAAAGAAGTATGGAAGGACAAGAGATGGCTTTTAATTGGAGGGATGGAATGAGGTATGATGTAAAGTGTCTAGCAAAGTGCCTGGTACTGGGAAAACACTCAATAAATATTAGCTATTACTATTATCAGAATTGACTTCATGTAGGAAGAAGAATTTGAGTCAAGGTAGGTTCGCCAGGCAAATTATAAGATGCCCAGTTAAATATGTATTTTGGATAAACAACAAATATTTTTTAGTCTAAGTATGTCCCATATATTGCATGGGACATACTTAGACTAAAATATATTTGTTGTTTATCCAAAATGCAAATTTAACTGGGCACCCTGGTTTTTTGTTTGCTAGATCTAGACAAGGAAAATTTTCATATGAAGATGAAGAGCAGGGAAGGTAAACTGGCATGTCCAAAGGCACAGACACCAAAAAGAAATGGTATTTTTCATGGCACTTTCTGTTCTCTAATAAATGTTAACATCTACTGAGTACTTACTATGTGGCAATCACTGATCTGAGGGCTTTACAAGGATTAACTCATTTATTCTTCATAAAAACATGTAATTTGTCCAAAAGCCAGATTTGGGAAGTGGTGTACCTGAGATTATGAACCTAAAATGCTTGGCTCCAGGGGCTACTGTCTTAACAATTTGGGGTAGAGGAAAAGAATCTGTTCAGGTAACGTCAAGAAAGACTTCAGGGTCAGCCTATCACCACAGTCATTTTTTTAAAGAGTTATTTCTTTATTTAAGAGTTTAGGGGCTCCTGGGTGGCTCAGTGGGTTAAGCCTCTGCTTCGGCTCAGGTCATGATCTCAGGGTCCTGGGATCGAGTCCCATATGGGGCTCTCTGCTCAGCAGGGAGCCTGCTTCCCCCTCTCTCTCTGCCTGTCTCTCTGCCTACTTGTGATCTCTTTCTGTCAAATAAATAAATAAAATCTTTTAAAAAAATTTAAAAAAAGAGTTTATTTATTTATTTATTTATTTAGAGGGAGAGTGAGCAGACAGGGGGAAAAGGTAGACAGAGAGGGAGAAGTAGACTCCCCGCTGAGTGGGGGACCCTTCACCCCCACACAGAAGAAGCAGGACTCCATCCCAGGACAAGTGGTGGTCTTGAGCAACTTGAGCGGACTTGAGTGGAAATCAAGAGTGCAACACTCAGCCTACTGAGCCACCCAGGTGCCCCCACCACAGTCATTTTTTTAAAAGTCCTGTGCTCCAACCATAATTCCTATATGAAGTGCAATATCAATGATAATTTGATAAATTCGTTTGCAGTGGGCTGCTGCCAGCCTGCCTCAGCCTCTCTCCATATTGTCCCAAGTACTCAAGCAGAGGTCTGTCTTCCTGTGTTTTGCCTTTTCTAAAGTCATCCTGTTCCTGAAATGTGAGATCATCCTGGAATTGCTGCTGCCTTTGCAACAGCTTATCAAAAGCAAACAAGCTTGGGGGAATTGAGCAAGAACTTCTGGGACACCAACCTGAAAAAGAAGCAAGGGTTGGAGAGCACAGATTGACTGTCTGCACAGGACAAAGATAATGATTAATCAAACCTCCTTGCAAATTTAAATAGGCTAGGCACTAGGAGTGGAGGCAGTCTTGCTCTCTTTGAGCTGGAGTGCTCAAGAGCCAGCTCCAGCCTTCGAAAAGATGTCTGTGAAGATCTTTTGCCTGGTCCTGAGTGTGGTGGGCACGGTCTGGGTATGGTCGCCTTTATTTTCTCTTCTTGCTTTGTCTCTAGTGTTGAGTGAATCTTACCTATGTCCTCACACACTGTGAGGTTTATAAGCTCTAGGCCCCGGAGGCAAGTTCCTAGATGAGCCTGACACAGCACAAGTTACGAGGGACACTTAGCTGGACAAAAGTATAGAAATTCACAGGGAAAGCTTTGGCATCTGTGTTTCAGCCTTAGAACATTGTTTGTTTTACAGGAAGAACTCTCTGCCATCTTTGTTCCAATAAAGCCTCGGAGTAGTTCATGCTAGTTAACGGAACAAAACATTCTTTTGCTAAGAATTTTAAAAAACTCATTATTAATTTATTGCTAGTTGTCCATAATACACAGAACAGTGGCTTAATGTAGTTTTTCTGAATGGTTGTTTTTTTGTGTGTGTGTGTGTGTGTGTTTTTAAAGAAAAACAAATTAGTTGTCTTTAAAACATATAGCATAATATATTTTATTACATATTACATAGTCAGGAGAGATTAATTGAGAAGGCAATATTCTTTTTGGGAAGTAATCTTTTTTTTAAAGATTTTTTTATTTATTTGAGAGAGAGAGAGTGAGATAGAGCATGAGAGGGGAGAAGGTCAGAGGGAGAAGCAGACTCCCCACGAGACGAAGCTGGGAGCCAAATGCGGGACTGGATCCTAGGACTCTGGGATCATCACCTGAGCCGAAGGCAGTTGCTTAACCAACTGAGCCACCCAGGCAACCAGGAAGTAATCTTTTAAAATAATTACTAAATATTGCAACAGTTTCTAAAGTCTGACTCCAGAGGCCTATGGAAAGGAGACGGACTTCATTCAACAGGCCTTTGAAACACTTAGATCTTATAAAACATGACACATATGTTTAAGAAACTCAGTTACTTTCAGGCTATGAATTATTCCAATTTATTTCTTTCCCTTCACCACTCATAAGCCCTACTACTAGAGCAAAAAAACTAAAGAGGGTTTCTAACTTACTTTTCTTCTTTAGAATAAACTAATAAGTAAAAAAAGTTTTATGGAAAATAAGACTAACATTATTTGCTAACTATTTGGATAATGCATAAGTTTTCAGTAAATATTTAGCTTTTGTCTGTTTTTATTGTTGTGCCATTTTATTCTGAAATATGTTATAATTCATAATTTCATTTCATATTTCATATTATTTCATAATTCATATTTTATTTCTTAAAGAGATTGTACTTATCCTTTTAAATAAACTGCCCTTGAAGATTGTTATTATCATTAGGGTACTTTTTTTTAAGAGACAGCAAATATTAGCTAATTATAAGAATAAACTATCCAAGGAAGCTCCTGGAGGCTCAGTTCGTAAAGCACGCGACTCCTGATCTTGAGGTTGTGAGTTTGAGCCCCATACTGGGCACAGAGATTACTTAAAAAAATAATAATAATAAACTATCTGAGATTAAAATAGTCATAGCAAAATCTCTGTAAGTTAGTAGTACAAAATAAAAATAGCTAAAACTTAAAACCCATCTCGATTTATTAGGATACAAAGTCTTGTTGGAAGACTATTTTTTATGTCCTATTTCACTTCCTAGGTCACAATAGAAATTTTTTTTTTTTTTAAGATTTTATTTATTTATTTGACAGACAGAGATCACAAGCAGGCAGAGAGGCACGCAGAAAAAGAGAGGGAAGCAGGCTATCCGCTGAGCAGAGAGCCCGATGCGGGGCTTGATCCCAGGACTCTGGGATCATGACCTGAGCCGAAGGCAGAGGCTTTAACCCACTGAGCCACCCAGGCGCCCCACAATAGAAATTTTTTAAATAATCTGTATTTCTAACTAGAAGGTGTTCAAAAAAAGTTGTCAGTCATGGATCATTATTTTGCTGTCTACTCTTTTGCATTGTAAATAAAGGAAATTATTATGTGAGTGAATAACCTCAAAAGCATTTCCCAGTCTGATCTGGCCACATTTGTGCCCTTGATGTACTTGCTCAAATTATGGACCCATCAGATCAGATTAGAAACTTGAAGGAGGGAGAAATTAAGCTAACATAGTATAGGTTTTCTCCTACTGAAACAGAAATTACAAGAGAAAGAACTCTGACTTTTGCAATTACCTTTCTATCTCCAGACATTACTGAAAATGAAAAGGTAAATTTTAAAATGTGTATACCTTATCTCCTTTAACTTGTACAACTCCATAAAATACCTATTAGGATTTTCAGTCAAAATGTCAGAAAGCTGAAGCTTGCAGAGGCCCCAAAGCTGGGGATCTTAATCTCTGTGAGAGCTCTCCCTTTCCTTGGGGTTTGCAGGTATGCCTGTATCTTCTTATCCACCTAATGTTGTTCTGTTTTTTGTGTTAAAATGAATCCATAAAGACCATCCATGTCAAGGAAAGTGAATTTATAGCCGAAGGAGCAGTTGCACGTGGCCCAAGAATTGTGGAAAGACAGCAATCTACCTGCAAGGAGACAGACTGGCCCTTCTGCGCTGATGAAGACTGGGTGAGCAGCGGGAGGAGGGGCAGAGGGAATGGGAGAATCCTTCCCCGTGGTGCTAGAATTGTGCCAGGGCTGACCCAGTAGGTCACAAAAACTCTTCCAATAGGAATAATCTAATAACTCATTACATGTCAAAATCAAGAAGACAAATGGAAAGCAACCCCACCCTGAGAGCACTATTTAAATTACCTCCCAAACTCTGGGTCATTAGTGAGATTAATAGTTTGGATTTTAGTTGCATGTTCAGATAAATCCCAGAAACCTGAGTGTTATAGCCTCAAGATTTGGTGGGGCTTAATTTATGGTTAAGTGGACCCGTGTTACAAAATTTCTCTATGACTTCTAACTGGTCCTCTCAAACTACTCTTAAGTCAATAGATGATCTGAGGATATTGGAGGAGGGAGGGACAGTGGGGGCTGCATGGAAACCTTCAAAATTGTACTATATCCAAGATACTGACTTTTAATATACTTTTCCTCTTCACTTCCAGAACTACAAATGCCCTTCTGGCTGCAGGATGAAAGGGTTAATTGATGAAGTCAATCAAGATTTTACAAACAGAATAAATAAGCTCAGAAATTCACTATTTGATTATCAGAAGAACAATAAGGACTCCAGTTCATTGACAGGGAATATAATGGAACTTGTGAGAGGGGATTTTGCCAGCGCTAACAGTAAGCATTACATATTTGGTACTTTGACTTTATAGCGCACAACAACACAACAACAAAGGCCCTAAATAAATATGCTGTCTTCTTATGGCAACTTCCAATTTTGTTCCACAGTACTTAAGATAGAAACACATGCCTTTAGGATGTCCCTGAATTTTAAGGAGGGGATTGCTTTTTATAAAAGTAACATTAAAAAGTTTGGCTTAGAATTGTTTAATGTCACAAAGTAAGTCAGAATTTTGTATTGAAGACTAGAATTTAAGTGTGTTCTTCTTTTAAGAGTGTATACTGAAAAGAAGATGAGCATAACCTTTTGAGGAGGTAGTGTTTCTGTCTTACAGAGGAGGGAGGAAACAGAGATCAAGAGACTTACCCAAAGACACACAGCTATTCACGTGATGGATTAAGAGTTCCTTCCACAGACTCCACCAAGCTGTTTCTGTTTTGTTTTGTTCTGTTTTTCCATTTAAAATATAGAGCTATGTTCTCTATTTCTCATAGGACTATGACTAAGCCTCATTAGGACTAGGAAACATCGGATTTACTCTGGGCATGGGAAGCACGTTTAGGGAGGCCCTATTTCCTGAAGCCTGCTTTGACTCTTTATATCTTTAGGAGACACTTAACTAATGTAAAGTCAACAGTACAACAGTAATAGCAAGTGAGTGATCCTGTTGACAAAAACAAAAAACAAAACAAAAAACCCCACAAAAAACACCTTAGGAATAATTTCAAAAATATACGTAGGAAAGAAAACTTCTCTGTATGAAAATTCAAGAATATGGTTAAGTATGTTAACACATTGTTTAAATTATGTTTAAGTCCCTTGGTTAAGGAAATGATGAAATAATTGAAATGTGATCGAATTTAATCTCCTGATTATAACTTTAAAATTCCAAAGACATTTCTTCTGCATTTATTTAGATTACTAATAGCTAGTAGAGCATCTTAATTGACAGCTATGGGTGACTAAAGGACACGACATTGTCCAAACATCAAATGCCTAATAGATTTGGAACTCATAAATAAAATGTCCAGAGAACAAATTGCTACTAAAAGGAAACAGATGTTTATAAGTAAATTTCTTTCTTTTGCTGGCTATGAAAGCAAGTCACTTAGCAGCTCCTTCACTCTCGCTTTTTTCAGATAATGATAATACATATAGCCAAGTGACAGAAGATCTGAGAAGCAAAATTGAGATCCTGAGGCGCAAAGTCATAGAACAAGTACAGCAAATCCGCCTTCTACAGAAAAATGTCAGGGATCAGCTGGTAGATATGAAACGACTGGAGGTAAGTGAGTGTTTGACTTTGACACCAGATTTCCTTGTTTTTGAATAGCAGGAAAAGGAAGGCAACAGTCATTCACTAAAGACATACTATATGTAGAGCAAAATGTTATATCCATTATCCACCTACAGAGTAGGTATTTTTTACCCCCACTCTACAAATGAAGAAGAAAAGTTCAATGATATTAAGCAAACTTTCCAAGGATACATAGTTAGTAAATTTCAAAAGCAAATATTAAGTTCCTGCTTGTCTTGTTCAAGCTCTGACACCACTGTGCCTCTGGATCTTCAATCTCAGTCTCACTAAGAGTCGATTCATCAGTGTTTCCTTTTGGAGGGAATAGCATCTTACTGATTTGTTTTAAGACTAAGATGAATTCAAATAGCTCCTACTTCTTCTCCAGGCTAACCTTACAATACCTCACATCTCTTCCACTGAGGGTATGACATAAATGAAAAATAGAGTACTGGGAGCACCTGGGTGGCTCAGTGGGTTAGAGCCTCTGCCTTAGGCTCGGGTCGTGGTCCTAGGGTCCTGGGATCGAGCCCGAGTCGGGGGTCTCTGCTCTGCGGGGAGCCTGCTTCCCCCTATCTCTCTGCCTGCCTCTCTGCCTGCTTGTGATCTCTGTCAAATAAATAAATAAATACATCTTTAGAAAAATAGAGTATTGGTTGGTAGGTCTCCACCTCAAAGAAATGAATCTAGTTTCCAAAAAATAAATTAACTGCTTAGAAATGAACAGGCATGATTTCTTTATATCAACCTCTTTTCTTTCTCTTTCCCCCGCCTCTCTTAGGTGGACATTGATATTAAGATCCGATCTTGTCAAGGGTCATGCAGTAGGGCTTTGGAACGTAGGACAGATCTAAAGTACTATGAAGATCAACAGAAGCAACTTGAACAAGTCATTGCCAAAGACTTACTTCCACCTAAAAACAGACAACAATTACCACAGCTGAAAATGAGCAGAGCTCCAAATACGCTTCCTGGGGACTTCAAGAGCCAGCTTAAGAATGCCCCTCCAGAGTGGAGGGCACTCATGGAAATGCAACAGATGAAAATAACATTCGAGGGGTCTGGTAGAGATGGGAATACCCGAGGAGACACTGCATCTCATGGAACAGGATCAGTGCCTGAAAACCCCAGGAACCCTGGGAGCTCCACACCAGGAAGTTCTGGCACTTGGAACCCTGGGAGCTCCACACCAGGAAGTTCTGGCACTTGGAACCCTGGGAGCTCTGGACCCGGAAGTTCTGGCACTTGGAACCCTGGCAGCTCCACACCGGAAAGTTCTGGCGCTTGGAACCCTGGCAGCTCCACACCGGAAAGTTCTGGCACTTGGAACCCGGGGAGCACCGGGCCTGGCAGTGATGGCAGTTGGAGCTCTGGGAGCATTGGGACGACCAGCAGCAGCTCTTGGAGCTCTGGGAGCTCTGTGAGCACTGGCTCATGGAATGCTGGGAGCACTGGTACTGGCAGTACTGGTCCTTGGAGCCCTGGAAGTTCTGAGTCCGGAAGCTTTAGGCCAGATAGTGTAGGGCATGGGAACTCCAGGCCTACCAACCCAGACTGGGGCAAATTTGAAGAGGTGTCAGGAAGTGTAACTCCAGGGACAAAGAAAGAATTCCACACAGGTAAACTGGTCACTTCTAAAGGAGATAAAGAGCTTCTTATTGGTAGTGAGAGGGTCACCTCTGGAAGCGGGACCACCACTCGTCGTTCATGCTCTAAAACTGTTACTAAGACTGTTATAGGTCCTGATGGTCGCAAAGAAGTGACCAAAGAAGTGGTAAACTCTGAAGATGGTTCTGACTGTGGTGATTTACCCCATTCTTTTGCTGGTAGCCTAGATGATCTCCATTCTAGGCACCCTGATCTGGAGAGTTTCTTTGGCACTTCCTCAACTAGAAACATATTTCCAGGTGGGCTTTCACCCTCACACAGAGAGTTTGATAGTAGGACCCATGCTTTGGGCTCAGAATCGGACATATTCACATACTTCAGGGTACCTGAGTTCCCTTCCAGTGGTAAAACTTCAAGTCACAGCAAACAATTTTCAAGCAGTAGTACAACTTTCAACAGAGGAGACTCCACATTTGAAAGCAAGAGCTATAAAGTGGCAGGTGAGACCGGAACTGAAGAGGAACATGAAACCCTCAAGGGAGGATATACCACCAAAAGAGGCCATGCTAAAGTTCGCTCTGCCAGAGGTATCCACACTTCACCTTTGGGGAAGCCTTCCCTCATCCCCTAGACTAAGTTCACTATTCTTGCAATGCCTCCCCTAGCGCCTTGAACTTCTTTCCTAGCCCTCTATTACACTTTCCAGAAATTATACCATTTTTTGTGTGTGTTTGGGCACTAGACTGTAAGTTCCATGAGGGCGGGGACTTTGTCTCTCATGTTCATCTCTGTATTCCTAAATGCCTAACAGTGCAGAGAATCATCACTCAATAAACACGTGTTAAATGAATGAATGAATCCCTCTGAAACTCGATTTAAAGTTTGTTTAACCAAATTCTTTCACCACTCAAAATGTGTGCTCTTGGAATTGCCATCCAACTTATTAATCATATTTTTAGTGTGTGTCTCAGTTGACATTTAGATCAGGTTAAAAACAAGTTACATTAGCTCTAAGTGATGCTTAGATATCTTTGCTGGTTACTTGCTGTTGTCAGTACACGGCAAGTAAAATTTCAAATCCATTGAGTAAAATCCCCTCTGTGATTTGTAGGTATAAATGTCACTCACATAAGTTTCAACCCAGTGTAAGTGCACTCTTTCCCCATGGAGGGAGGGAAGGAAGGAAGGATGGATGAAAGGAAAAAAGGAAAAGGAAGCCAGTATCTGCCTTCCTTTTACCTGGGCCATGCCTATCTTTGTAAAGTTAAATGAGAATAACTTCTTCCAACCAGCTTAATTTTTTTTTTAGACTGTGATGATGTCCTCCAAACACATCCTTCAGGTGCCCAAAGTGGTATTTTCAATATCAAGCTACCGGGATCCAGTAAGATTTTTTCTGTTTATTGTGATCAAGAGACCAGTTTGGGAGGATGGCTTTTGATCCAGCAAAGAATGGATGGATCAGTGAATTTTAACCGGACCTGGCAAGACTACAAGAAAGGTTTCGGCAGCCTGGATGACAAGGGGGAAGGAGAATTCTGGCTAGGCAATGAATACCTCCACTTACTAACTCTGAGGGGCTCTGTCCTTCGGGTTGAATTAGAGGACTGGGCTGGAAACCAGGCTTATGCAGAATATCACTTGAGGGTAGGCTCTGAGGCAGAAGGCTATACCCTGCAGGTCTCTTCCTATGAGGGCACAGCAGGTGATGCTCTGATTGAGGGCTCTGCAGAGGAAGGAGCAGAGTATACGTCACACGCGGACATGCAGTTCAGCACCTATGACAGGGACAGAGACCCGTGGGAAGAGAACTGCGCGGAAGTCTACGGAGGAGGCTGGTGGTACAACAGCTGTCAAGCGGCCAATCTCAATGGCGTCTACTATCCTGGGGGCTCCTATGATCCAAGGAACAATAGTCCTTATGAGATTGAGAATGGAGTGGTCTGGGTCCCCTTCAGGGGTGCGGATTATTCCCTCAGGGCTGTTCGCATGAAAATCCGGCCCCTGGTGACCCAATAGAACTGGAAGGAGAGGAATCTGCTTTCTTTGTTTAGTGAAATAGAGGGAAAAATGAGGAAGATAAAGATGTTAAGATTCTTTACAATCTACTAAGAAATTCATGGGTGCTATTTTATTATTCTTTGTACTGTATCTAGATGTAACTGAGACATATTACTGCTTTAAAAAATAAAATTATGTTAGTTTTTTTCTGAAAGTAGCTCTCTGGGTTTTCAAATTTCTATAAGGCTACACCGAGGAACACTCAGTACAACCAGGAAGAAGGAGTCCAACTGATGTTCCTCTCTATAACCCTTATGGGTGTTGTTTTGAACACTTCTCTCCCCACACCACTCAAAGTCATAAAGCCATTGTAAAGTAAAAAGTTTTTCACCCATTTTGTTTGAATGGGTTGAAGCCAATTTTTTTAGAGATTTTTTTTAAAGATTTTATTTATTTATTTGACAGAGAGAGATCACAAGTAGATGGAGAGGCAGGCAGAGAGAGAGAGAGAGAGGGAAGCAGGCTCCCTGCAGAGCAGAGAGCCCGATGAGGAACTCGATCCCTGGACCCTGAGATCATGACCTGAGCTGAAGGCAGCGGCCTAACCCACTGAGTCACACAGGCGCCCTTTTGTTTAGAGATTTTATTTATTTATTTGACACACACACACACACACACACACACACACAGAGAAAGAAACAGTAAGAGAGAGAACACAAGCAGGAGAAGTGGGGGAAGGAGAAGCAGGCTTCCCTGAGTAGGGAGCCCGATGCAGGACTCTGGGATCATGACCTGAGCCTAATGCAGATGCTTAATGACTAAGCCACCCAGGTACCCCTGAAGCAAGTATTTTAAGTTACAGATCACTGAATTGAACGATGGCTAGCCTTCGTAGAGGAACTTAACAAATTACAAAGTACATCCATCTCTTCTGCTAGCAAGCAAATCCAGGAAGGCAGGAAGAGCATTCTTTCCTAATAGAAAGAGAAATCTGTTCCTTAAGTTTTTCAGTGAAGACCACAATGCACAATTAATTTTTTCCCCAGTTTGATGAATTTCCTTCAAAAACACATGGCAGGAAAAAATGCATTTAAAATCCTTTAAATATTTTCAAGTATTCAAAAAACACAGCTAGTATGTATTGAATTCACAAATTCAATATATTTACATTGATCAATATTTTATTTGATGTATGTTGCATCTCTGACGCTGGCTCCTGCCCCTAATTTTTAACTCATATTTCTTGTTAGTGAGAACTACCTGCTATTGACACTTGAAAACGTATTAAAATAGATTAAAATAGTCCAACCACACTGGGCTCCTGGTACATTGTTCTCATTTTCATGGTCTTCACCCCAGTTTAACTGCATCCTTTATCCTAGAGAAGAAAAAAAGAAGGAAGCAAGCAGGCCGTCTAGGGATAGAGGCCAGAGCTGGCGGGGCAGAGAAGAAGATGGACTTGCAAATGAGTCACATAGGAAGCCCCAGCATTCTTGCATTTCCTTATGTGCAACTGAAAATCCTTGATAGGTTTGCCTGGGTGGCTCAATAGATTAAGCCTCTGCCTTCAGCTCAGGTCCTATTCCTGGGGTCCTGCTCGGCAGGGAGCCTGCTTCTCCCTCTGCCTGCTGCTCCCCTTGCTTGTACTCTCTTTCTCTCATAAATAAATAAATAAATAAATAAATCAAATCTTTTAAAAAAATTAAAATCCTTGAAACAAATACATCTCCAAATCTTTGAATAGCTGGATAAGAACTTCAGAATTAACAGAAGTTTCATTTATTTCAGGCCTGGGAATTAATTCCATGTTATCTCTATGCCTGCCCCATTTACTACTCACATATTTGCCTCCACAGAATTTGAGTTGGGAGTAGGAATATTTTACTTTCCAGAGTGTCACACCATTAGGGACAGAGTTGGATCCCCAAATGAAAGTGACTTGGAATGTGAAAGGCCATTCATTTCTCATTTATGTTGAAGGCTTTGAGTTTCTTGGCAAAGAATGGGTAACCTCTTTTCATTTAATAAACAGAAGCCAATATTAACAGGATCGTGATCATTGGAGATATAGTTTAGTCGCAAGAAGAGACACCAAACATCTCTTTTTTTCCATTTTACCTTTAACCTGTTGCTTTATTTCCCTTATTCCTGAAATTAAATATTAATTTAGCTTCTCTGACTCTCATTCCTGATGGAAGCCCACTTTAATTTGAGTTTCATTTGGTTACTACTGTCTTGAAATTTCTCTTTTTTAAGTCAACAAGAACTTCATAGTTCTAAATTTCATTCAGGCCTCCTCCTGCTTGACTTCTTTTAAAATCTGCTGCTTTGGTTCCCACCCTACCTCTTCAATCTGCATTTTTTTCTTGGTTTTTAGTAGACTATTCTCATTTGTCTCACCTTTTTTGGTCTTTTTAACTGGCAGTGCCTTCTTAAACGGCTCCTTAAGTGTAGGGGTTTCTCATTATAGTAACATTAGTACTCATTTTTATCAGTTGGGATGAGGTTTAATGCATGTGCCTTAAATAAGATAGAAACTTATTTCTTGTTCATAAGAAGTCTATAGTAATATGTCCTCTTAGTGTCTTCCAGAAACCAGCATCCTAGTAAAAGGCTTTCATCTTCAGGTTTACCTCATGTTCTATCAAACACCATGGCCTGTGGCAATCTGGAAGATGGAGGAAAGACAGAAGGGAAATGCAGTATCTTCTCCCTTTTAAGGAACTTTCTGAAATGTTCCATATAGCATTTTTACTTATGTGTCATCAGCCACAGCTTAGTCACATGGACATACCTAGTTTCAGAAGAGGTTGTGACACTTTGGCAATACAAGATTAATACAATTCTGTACTAATTAAAATTAGGATTCTATTAATAAGGAGAAGCAGAATGCATGTTGAGGTAGGCAATTAGCAGTCTTAGCCAGACCATCCTTTCTCACTCTATAAGTGAGTATATTTTCTCCTTGGTTGATTTGACAATCACTGTAGCTTCAATGACCATCAATAGGTTGGTGATAGCCTAATCTAAAACTTTGGCCCCGACCTTCGTATCAATGTTTTCAATTCATACTGAACACATCCATTTAGGTCTCTCTCATTAGCCTAAGACTGAGTTAATTACCTTCTCATCAAAACCTATTGCATCTTCTATGTTTCTTATCCCAGTCAGAGGCATCATTAGCCTCTAGTTTCCTAATCTAGAAAATTTGGGGTCCTTCTCAGCTTCTACTTTTTTCTTTAATTCTCATGTCCAATCTATCTCTAAACCCTCTTCTACACTAAAAATGGCCATTCTTGGGGCACCTGGGTGGCTCAGTGGGTTAAGCATCTGTCTTCAGTTCAGGTCATGATCCCAGGGTCCTGGGATCAAGTCCTGCATCAGGCTCTCTGCTCAGCAGGGGACACTGCTTCTCCTTCTGCCCGCTGTTCTCTTTCTCTCTGTTTGTGTCAAATAAATAAAATCTTTTTTTTAAAAATGGCCATTCTGGGGTGCCTGGGTGGCTCAGTGGGTTAAAGCCTCTGCCTTTGGCTCAGGTCATGATCTCAGGGTCCTGGGATTGAGCCCCGCATTGGGACTTCTGCTAGGCAGGGAGCCTGCTTCCTCCTCAGCCTCTGCCTGTCTCTCTGCCTATTTGTGATCTCTGTCTGTCAAATAAATAAATTTAAAAAAATAAAATAAAAATGGTCATTCTTATAGCACTTTTATGTTCTTATGATATCTTGAGTTAATTTTTTCCAGTTTCGGCTCTTTAACAGTTTCTTAGTCTCCCCCTTTACAACCATTCTTTCGCACATTTATTCTCCAGAAAGTTACCTTTTAAAAGATTAAGCAATGATGTCTTTCTCCTACTTAAGGCCTATTTGACATTGAATTAAAACTTTGTAGCTTTGCACATAATCTCTTTCACAAATTGGTCCCTTTCTAATGTTTACAGTCATTCGCTGCTTTTGGATTGCACTGGATTTTCACTAGTATCAGAAATCCAGAGCCTTTAATGAGTTTGTGCTTTTACCTGTACTGCCTAGAAGAGTCCCCTTTGTCCTTGACGATACGACTCCATGGTGTTCCTTCTGTAAACCCTTCCCTAATTCCCACCATAGGACATAGCACCAGGAATTTTTCTCTGGGCTTTCAGAGTTCTTGTTTCTATCCCCAAAATAACAGTGGATCCCTATCTCTAACATAGTTGTTTATGTCATTGGGTGTATTCCTTTAGGCCAGAACTCAGTTACATGGTATTTCCTGCCCTACATAAGAATGTCTTACCTACCGCAGAATTCTACAGGTAAGTTTTAGAAGTTTCTTCAAATATTTTTATTTTTTCTTTTATTTATTTAACCTATAATTTATTTTAACATGTTACAGAGAAGGCCTACTTTTATTTTCTTGTGGATGGATATCCAGTTATGCTGGGAACAGCTATTAAAGTATTCTTTGCCAGTGGAATTAAAATGCCAATTTTGTTGAATAAAACAGATCTATACATATGCTCTCTCCTGTGCTTATATCACTTTGTTCATCTTTAAAGTATAGCTTTTCAGTGGACTATTCTCCCTCTTACCCTCCATTTTTTTTTCTTTTTTTTTTAAGACAAAAAAAATTTTCCTTTCAGTTTTTACTTCCTTTGTTTGTTCTAGGGGCTTTGGAAAGGTCTTTCTTAATTTTGAATTAGTTAGTTTTTTGGGGGTTTAGCATGAGTCATCTTTCTTTTTTCTATAACATTGACCTAATGGGGAATTAGTGAGTCATCTTTTAATTATTAATTTCCAAGTATTTCATTATATAATGTCCTTTTTTAAAAACTTATTTCATGCTTTTGGAAATGAATTTTACCTTGTCAAATATTGATAGTGTCATCACTTCCAATTTCTTTTTCTTTGCGCTTACCTATATATCTTTACATTCACTTTGTTTAGAAGCCTTTCCTGAAATAATAGGTGAATTTTGAAATACATTTTATTTTAAATCTATTTTTTGTTTTATTGTAGTTTCTCCTTTCTTTAACTCTTTTCTTGTAGTTCTTTCACTTTTAAACTATACTTCTTTCTTAATTTAGGAGATGTTCTTATAAATAATGAACTTTTTAAAAATGACTTTTATTGTATATTTATCTTTAAAATTTTTTTGTTTCTTCTTTCCTTAACTTCTGCTGACTTCCTCATGATGCTTTTCTCCATCTAATGCCATGCCCTCTTATTCTTCAAGTT